TCCCTACCCTCCTCTCTCCTCACTAACCTACCGCCTCTCCCCTCACTGTCCCTACCTCCTCCCCTACCCCTACTCCAGTCCCCTCACTACCCCCTACCTCCTCTCCCCTCCCTACTTTTCTCTCCCCTCCCTACCCCTACTCCTCTCCCCTCACTACCACCTACCGCCTCTCCCTCACTACTCCTACCTCCTCTCGCCTCACTACCCCTACCTCTCCCCTCACTACTCCTACTTAGGACCTCTCTTAGGTCATATTTATCTATGGAAGTTTTCTTTGATTTTTCCATATGTTGTATATATTTGTTTATTGATATGTATTTGTGTTATTTATTTTTTATTTATTATGTATTTTTTTATTTATTTATTGTATTTATCTTATCTATTTCTTATTTATTTATTCATTTATTCATTTATTTATATTTTTCTCTCTATGAAAATAGCAATCATATATTATTGTTACATTTCCAGTCTGTGTTGGCAAAGTATCCATTGCTCACCTAGTTATGTTAAAAAGTGCAAAACAATGGACAAGCTTAAAAGGAAAAGTAACAGTCATCCAGAATTTCAAAACTAATTATTTTATGTCTTCCCAACAGCAAAGTACTGGTGCCGACCCAGAAGCACAAGCAACACACCTTCGGGGCAAAGTCATCAAGTTTGGATGGATCGAAGGTGTACTGGTAAGTAGGTGCTTACACCCACAATTGTTTTATCTAGTTGGTGGTATGATAATACAAGATTGATTAAACATTTGAAGTCCATAGATAGCATTCCATCTCCTTTTTATTTATACAAGATTAGTTAAACATTTGAAGTCCATAGATAGCATTCCATCTTTTTATTTCTACTCCTCCTCCTCCTCCGCTTTCTTTCAACTCGTACTGCTATTCACGTTCTGAGTTCTTTCTGATAAATCTTCTGCAGATGAGATGTCTCCTCAACATTTGGGGTGTGATGCTTTTCTTGAGAGTCAGCTGGATGGTTGGCCAAGCTGGACTTGGTAAGTAAAAGCTTTACTTTTTGTGTTAGTTTTTCCTTATCAGGTAACTGTGAAAAATTTTAAGTTTAGATGTTTTTTTTTTTTCTTTCTTTCTTTCTTTTTTCAGCTTCAGAGAAATTGTAATTTTTTTTCTTTCTTTCTTTGCAGTTTATTCCATCTTAATTGTTGTTATGGCAAATATTGTCACAACAGTTACTACTCTCTCCATGTCAGCAGTTGCCACAAATGGTCGCATAAAAGGAGGTATGTTGTGGAGTTATATGATAAAACATGAATTAAGAAAATGTGAAAATATCCATTACTGTTTGTATTCTTCTTAATCTTCAAAGAAAAGAAATACTACATCTGCAGGGTAAACATCTAATTGCAAAACATATCTACTGTATATCCATTTTGATTTAGATGTTTTACATGTGAAATTCACTTACAGGTGGTGTTTATTACATGATCTCTCGTTCACTTGGTCCGGAGTTTGGAGGCTCCATTGGTCTTATGTTCACCCTGGCTAATTCCATTGCTGCGGCTACATACATCATTGGTTTCTGTGATTCCTTGAAGGTTTGTGTTGAATTTTACATTGTATTCTCTTTTATTCCTACATATAGTCATGATGGAAAAGTGTTATAGATTTTTATTGATGAAATGTAATTCGAAAATCAGGATGATAATGCTACATTTTTAAGAATGTTAGATTGAAAGAAAATGAATGACAATGTCTTATGTTTACAATACAGGATTTACTGAAGTACTACTTCAACAATGCTCAAATTGTGGACGGAGGTCTCAATGACACTCGTATTGTGGGCACCATCACACTTGTAGCAGTATTGGCATTGGCTATCGTTGGCATGGACTGGGTGACAAGAGTAAGTCTCAGAATTTCTATTTGTTTTTGCATCTTTATTAAAAAAAAAAAAAAAAAAAAAAAAAAAAAGCGAGTGAGAGAGTAAGGCAGTGCATTAAAAGCGAGTGAGAGAGTAAGGCAGTGCATTAAAAAACTTCAACCTCTTTACAGGTACAAATGGGTCTACTGTTCCTGCTCATTGGATCTCAGATTGATTTTGTTATTGGCTTCTTTATGGGCCCTCTGACTGATTTGGAACGTTCCCAGGGATTTGTAGGCTTGACTTGTAAGTATAGGAGTGTATTTTAAACCAAAAAACAAACATGTTGATATATGTACACTGGTGAATTGAAATACAGCCACACTAAGAAAAATGTACCTAATTATTCTCTTATATGTTATATAGGTTTACTGTATAATCGAAAGTTAAATAGATACATGTATAGTGATTCTCCTAAAGATCAGAAAATTTGTTGTTTTACAAGTATAGATGTTCCTTTGTGACTCTGTATGGTTTTAAGTTATTTTCACTATATTACTTCTGTTATAATTTCAGCTGGAGTATTTGCGCAGAACGTTGCATCAGACTTTAGGTTATCTGACGGAGTGCAATATGGATTTTTCGGTGTATTTGGTGTCTTCTTCCCAGCTGTAACAGGCATTGTTGCCGGAGCTAATCTTTCTGGTGATCTGAAGGTAGGCAAAAGTAGATAGTCATTATGTGGTTGTTACTATATGAATTGTAGTCTTTATTCTGTATCTTTGGAATAAGACTTCTTAAAATCTGATTTCATTGTTCTATTTACATATTTATTACTGGACTTTTGCAAGATGCATGTGTTGCATGACTTGGTCAGATGGTTTACAATTTACTTTTTTGCAGGATCCAGGGTCTGCAATTCCCAAGGGTACTCTGCTTGCCATTGGAATTACATTTGTAACTTACATTGTGTATCCATTTATGCTTGCTGGATCAGTGATCCGTGATGCTTCAGGTAATCATGTTGTTTATGTTTGTGATAAATTGTTTGTATTGTTATTTCTGTTCTTAGGTTGAGCAACAAAATCCACTTTTCTTTGACTAATATCAGATCAGATTTAAAGTTTCATAAGTTACATGAATTAAGTAGTCTCTAGCAAATATTGAAGTATAGTTGTGTCCAAGGCAAGTAAAATTTATGTATAAGATTTACTTTTACATGTTTCTTTAAATAGGCAGAATTTTATGATTACTTAAGTTTTTATCAAAACACCTTTGTAGACCGCTGCTTTTAGATATTGCACAAATATTATCACTCAGTTGTTTTTATATCATAATTCCTAGAGCTGATTTAAACTCAGCTGACTTAAAATTATTCCCTGAAAATGCAAGTTGTTAACATAGATGATTATCTATTCTTCTACGTTCATTTTTGTTACTTGACAGATAGCATAAGTTTTGATGATTATGATGTTATCTTTTTAGGAAATGTGACCATATTTCTGGAAAACTTGAACTCTACGGACCTCTTAGAGAACCCAGTGTTCACAAATGAATCCTGCTCTAAAACTGGAGGTGCTGGTGCTTGTGAATTTGGCTTGGAGAATAGTTTCCAGGTATGGAGTACAATAATCAGATATTTTGAAAGGTATATGTGGAATAGTCATAATTTTGATCATTATCTGCACTCTAAAGTTTGATTTACACCACAACCTCATTTAAAGATATATTCCTTTTTTATTTAGTTCATTTTCAGAGTTTGTGTATGTGTCCTGTCTGAATCATTTGAACATCACCTCAAAAACCTGACTCGCATGCTTTTCTTAGGTCATGGAGTTGGTGTCTGCTTGGGGTCCCCTTATCTACGCTGGTTGTTTTGCTGCCACCCTCTCCTCAGCCATCGCTTCCTTGGTTGGCGCACCACGTGTTCTGCAGGCTTTGGCCAAGGATAAGCTTTACCCTGGCATCTACAGCTTCTCCAGGGGTTATGGAGCCAATAATGATCCAGTCCGAGGATACATTTTGGTGTTTGTGATTTCCTTTGTCTGTATCATGATCGGTGAGTAGTAGGCTGTAATCTTTTCATGAACTATAATCTATGAAGCCAGGTGTGCAATATGAATGAAACGGTAAACTAATTTCATTTATTGTTTGCAACCTAATTTGATTATATTTTATTTCATTTGTCTGATACAATCTTTTTCTTTCTTATTATACCAACAGGTGACTTGAATCTTGTCTCAACACTTCTGAGTAACTTCTTCTTGGCAGCTTACAGTCTCATCAACTTTTCTTGCTTCCATGCATCACTTATCAAGTCTCCTGGCTGGCGTCCTGCATTTAAGGTGGGTACAAGTAGCACCTGTGTGCACATACACCCCCCCACACACACACACACACAAAATACATACATACATACATTACATTTGTATATTCATGGAGCTTATATATGTAAATATGCATGAACGATGTAGAAAAAAAAATGCAAAAGCTAATATAAAAGGGAGACCTAAAGATGAAATCAAAGTATTTTCTGTTCTGTTTTAGTGAATAAATAATACCCAAGGTTCCTAAAGTTTTTGTTGTTTTCTACAGTATTATAACTCTTGGGTGAGTCTTGTCGGTGGCATCCTTTGCCTGATGGTCATGTTCTTGATTGATTGGATTACTGCTTTCATCACCTTCATTATCATCATCGCCCTGTACCTCTTCGTGGCTTACCGTAAACCTGGTGAGTTAGACGCATAATTTTTTTTGCTTATAAATGGCATCAGAGTTCATACTTTTGTATGTTTACTGCCCTTGATAAGTTTTATATTTGTGCATTTATTACTATTTTTCTATGTGAATAATGGAATATATATAATATAAGTACACAGATATTTTTACTTTTTTTTTTTTTTTTTTTTTTTCATTGGCAGATGTCAACTGGGGATCGTCTACTCAAGCACAGACGTATGTATCAGCTCTGAAATCCACTCTTGATTTGATCACTGTTGAAGAGCATGTCAAGAACTACCGTCCTCAGCTTCTTGTTCTCTCAGGAGCTCCTGGCACACCACTCTTGGACTTTGCGCATACCATTACAAAGAATATTTCTCTCCTTGCCTGTGGACATGTCATTCAGGTATGGTATTCTCCCCTCCCTCTTTGTTTTTCTTTGTATTTGCAGTTGAGTTGGCTGATTGCATGGAAATTTTTAAATTAAGGATACCAAAGTTTTTAAGTGTCATATTTCTAGGTGCATTTTCCTTCATATTTCTCAATTTGTCTCTTTTGGTGTTTCAGGGCCCACAGACACAACGAGTTCGTAATTCTCTAAGCAGGCGAGCATACAACTGGCTGTCTCGTCATAAGATTCGTGCTTTCTACTCCATTGTTGAGGCTAACAACCTTGAGGAAGGCTCCAGGAACTTGTTCCAGGTACACCACATGGACTCTTTACTTATACTGGCAAATTGACTCATAACTACTTTCATCTAATAGAAAGTCTGAAATACCTTCCAGCTGTGTGTTGATAAATTTGAATACAAGTGGTGATTATGTACTTGGATGTAACGAACTTTGTAGAAAGCAGTTGATGGTTATATGACTATGCTGATAGTATAGGATTTTTTTTATATGTCATGCAAATTCATTAATCTTCTGAAGTTTTCATCAAAAATTTGTTCTGTTTGCAAGAATGCACTTATTAAACTAGAAGTCATGATAAGCAATTTCTTTTATGAATTATCCACAGCTTGTTGGATTGGGAAAACTTCGTCCAAATATTGTTCTTCTTGGATACAAATCAAATTGGGCTAAGTGTGACCGTTTGGAACTTAGATCCTACTTCAATACCTTACAGTAAGTGATTTGATATGTAAACTAAACTTTTTTTTTTTTTTTTTTTTTTTTTTTTTTTTTTTTCTTTTTTCTTTTTTTCTTTTCTTTTCTTTTTTAAATATCAATTAAAGGTTTAAGCATAAAGCTAGTTTTGTGTGTTATATGTATGCTATATTTTCTTGGAAAGTTCACATATGTTTTATAGATTTCTATATTTTTACTTTAGTTTTAAAAGCAACTATTGAAATTCACTGATCTTTAGATATTAATTACAGATATTACTTGTGCAAACCTTGTTGAGCAATGGTGTCAGAATGCCAAACATTTAATATACTTTCCTAATTACAGTGAAGCATTGGATATGTACTATGGAGTGGCTATCTTAAGAGTACCACAAGGACTGGATTATTCTCAAGTTGTCGAGGATGAAGATACACCCGTTGTTATGAATGGCAATGAAACCACTGGAGCAGCAGTCGCAGAGGAGATCAAACGTAATCAGTCTGCTGGTCAGTTGTCTCAAGGTAAGGTCGCTCTTCATGTTGTATTTACAGGTCATGTCTCTATGATGTTCATGAAGGAAAAGGTTTTACTTAGCAATTGCAGTAGGCCTTGCAGCAGTGAATGTTGTGTAGGCTACTTTTTATATACCTTGTTTTAGAATTATGTTCTGAATACTTCCCAAGCAGCTTCCAAAGTAAAGTTTATGAAAGAAAATGAAACAATAGGCAAAACACATGGATGCTGCTATCTCAGTAAGTGTTTACTTAAAGGCTTGGCTACATTTCCCAGGATGAATTAAGGTTACAATATATGATAGGTTATTAGCAGAGTTCTTGTTCCTGTTATTAATGTGTTCTGAGTTGATGTAGTGGATTTTGAAGGAACAAGCACAACACCCTCTTTTGTAACTACAAATTATTTTGATCACAGTGTGTTATGCATTCTTTTTTTCAATTTGACACTTCACCTTTTTTTTCTCTCTTTTTTTCACCACTTTTGAAAATTATTTGCATTGTGAATCACTCTAATTGGTCAGTATTTTGGAAGTCATGAATGTTTTGAGGTAAAATTGAGTATAGTAATGAAATATATCAAAATTCTGTATAAACAGAGATATTTGATGATAATTGAAAAGAAAACAAAACAATTTGATTATGAAGATGAGAATTACTCTTTTAAATGGCATAAATCTTCACTATTATTTTCTCAAGTTGAAACATTCATAAACTTCGAAGTTTGAAAAGCACTTGACAAACTTGGAAGTTTATGAGTGTTCAGTACATGCTGTTTTCAATTCCTCTTTTGCTACTCCAACCCTCTGCAATGCCGCGTACGTAGAAGTGGCAAAATTGCTTGGTTCCATAAACTCTAACGCTCGGAGTACTTATTATCGTGGTGAGTCAACGGTCCATATATGTGCATGATGCAGTTTTGCTTTTGTTTCATGTTGTGTCGAGTGAGTTGTTCTACAAAGGTGA